AGAGTACTTGCCACTTATAGTATCTTTAAAGGACTCAGGTTCATTCTCAATGAACCTTGGAAAGGTCAGAAGGGATATTTCATAATCAAATCTCTTAGGTGGTCTTATTTCTCTCTTTTCTCCATCTCTAGCAAGTTGATAATCATTTAAAAGTTAAGTTACTTCTAAATCAGATTCAGATTGGTGATTGTTATCATTATTTTGGGCCTTAACATGATTATCAACCTGATCAACTTGCAAATTATCATTATTAACTTGCTCCACTTCAATTTCAGTTTCCCTTCTTACATGTTCTGTATGACTCATTTTCTTCAGTGTTTTTATCAGATTTCAAACAAGGCAGATCATTTTCATTAAACACAATATTTCTACTTATAATGATCTTATACCCTTTGGTTTTTCTTATCCGAAGTCTATACCTTTTAACCCCTTAACCATAGCCCAAGAAAACACACTTAAGGGTCATAGGTTCAAATTTCCCTTCAGATTGATGTGCAAAGGCTGCACATCCAAATATTTTTTGATTAATTCAGTCTACAGGTTTTCCTGTCCAAATTTCTTCAGGGATTTTAAATTGTATAGCATTTGCAAGGCTCCTATTTATGAGATAACTAACAGTATTTGCAAATTCTCTCCAAATAACTTGGAAAGACCAAGACTTAATAATATGCATCTAACATTTTCAAGAACAATTCTATTCATTCTTTCAGCCAAGCCATTTTGTTGTGGGGTGTGTGTGTAACAGTTTCGTGTCTTAAAATACCATGAAATTTACACAATTCATCAAACTGATAATTGCAAAATTCAAGCCCTTCATCAGTCTTCATCACTTGAATTTTTTTATTAGTTTGATTTTCAATCAAGGTATTCCACTATTTGAAAACATTAAAAGTGTCTGACTTAGATCGAAGAAGAAAGATTTAGTTTTTCATAGAAAAATTATCTATGATTAAAAGGAAAAATTTGAAGCTAGTATGTATGGGTACTGAAGCTGGTCCCAAAGAGCAGCATGTAAATTTTAAGTATTGATAGAGATTTATGCATGCCAAGTAGAAATGGTAATCTATTATCTTTCCTAGTATGCAATGATCACAAAAACTGAGTTTCTCAATCACATCTTTTCCAAAGGCGCTTTTGTTTTTTCAAAATCTGTAGGCCTTTGTCACTAATATAGCCAAATCTTTTATACCATATTTGGGACTTATCATTGGAGACAGAGATTGCTTCGGATGTGGAATCAAAATAGTTTTGAATATGTAAAATGTAAACCCCACGTCTCTTGGGGGCTTTAGCAACAAGTTGAAAGCCCCTCAAGAATTTAATGTATCCCTTATTAATCACAATATCATATTCCAAGTCATATAAGACACCTAAGGAGATCAGGTTTCTTTGTAAGTTAGGGACATACCTGGCCTTTTCTAAAATCAATTCATTGTTACTTCTAACCTTTAAGGTGATAGTTCCTATGCCTTTTACCCGACAAGACATGTGATTATCCATTAAAACTTGGCCTCCATTTGTATTTTCAAACTCAGCAAAACACTTTTTTTTAGGACACATGGAAAAGTGCAGTTAGAGTCAATGATCCACACCGAACTAGGTGGACTGTGGATAGCAACATACACTTCATCTACGTTGGACTCATTATTATTGGCCAAGGCAACATCACCATCATTTTTAGGCTTATTTTTCAAATAATTAAGTCTCTTATGACAATTTTTGATAAAATGACATTATCCTAGACAGTAAAAACATTTTTTACCCTTAGTTTTGGTTTTCATTTTATCTTTACAGTTTGCCTTTTTCTTGTGTTCTGATTTCTTATTAAAATTGGCATTATTTAGATTTAGATTTGGTTTGGACTTAGCCATCAAACTTTCATCATCGTCAGATTCTTTCTTCTCAGATTTTAACTCTTAAATCTTTGTTTCTTAAAGCATTTATTATCACATCAGTAATTAAAGTCTCCATCTCATATTCAACAGCATTTTTAATATCTTTATATTTATCAATGATTGAATTTAACAAGACCACAATCAGTTGATCTTTTGATAATTTCTCATCACAATCGGTTAGGTCACGAGATAATCTATTAAATCTGTCAACGTTTGCCTCAAGATCAGATGGGTCCAATTTGAAACCAAGAATTGTGTTAGAAAATACACTTTATTAGGCATAGATTCATTCAAATAAGTATCTTCCAGTTTCTTCCATAGTTCAGCAGCAGTTTTCGTCTCACCAATCTTTCTTAACACATTGTCAGACAAATGCAAAAATATAGAGCTCCATGTAGTTTCATCAAATTCAGTTTTCTTAGTTTCATTTAGCCATGACTCATCAATGACCTTAGCACATTTTTGTTGAAATTAAAGTGCTATCTTTTTTTGGCGCCAGAGACTAAAGGGGGCGCATTCAACTGAGACTTTTAATGACTTTTTGAGATTTAAAAAGTTTTGGGATATACAATTGAGGTTTTTTGAGACGCTCTAAAAGTCACAGTGTATTCAATTGAGATTTTTATAGATTTTTAAGAAGTCTCTAAAAATCACAGTATATTCAATTGAAACTTTTTAGAAGTTTCTATAAGTATTGGTGTATTCAATTTTTAATGACTTTTAGAGACTTTTATAAAAGTCTCTGGAATACTAATTTTTAATCAGAATGTACACATATAAAATCCTAAAATTTGTCTCTCATGAATCAGGAGATTTTGGGAGACTTTCACAGTTTTTTTCAATCTTTCTTTCTTTTAACATTTTATGGATATATATGATTAAAATTTATTTTTTTCTATTGATTATATTTTTCCTATTTTTTTATTCTTTCTCTCTCTTATTATTTATCTCTAATCACACACACGCATATATATGTATATATATATTATTTATTTATTTAATTAAGGTCTTAAATTTTTATTTTTTCAAATGTTTTTATTATATGGGAAGAAAAAGGGAAATAATGGAGAATTGTGGGAACTAAGTGAGAATTTCACACGATTGTATTAAATTCACGCGAATTCTATTTCAAATGAAAGTTTTTTGAAGTCTACAAAAATTTTAAAATGAAAGTCCATAGAAGTCTACGAAAGACTTCAACTAATTCTATACAAATCTATAAAAGATCCACGAAATCCACAAAAGTCATCACTTAAAAAAAATCCATCAAAGTCTTTAAAAGTTTCAATTGAATACATCTCCCTAAAGCCTCCTTTACCATTAAAGATATGCAGTTCAACTTTAGTAGTCATGATCAAAACACAATTTGAATGACAACAATTGCAAGCAGATCACACAAGTCTTCAACGGTGTATACAACTTGCAAAAACTTGGATATCATACACAGTAAACCAATTTAAAGTGTACAAACAACAAGTGGGTTGTATAATACAGATTATTCAGTAAGATCTCTGTAGTTCATTCACCAAGAATTAAACAGTTTATTCAAAAAACCAGAATATCAAGTAACAAGTATACAAATCACAACATGCTATATACAGAATTACAGAATACATGCAAGAACATGAAGTAAAAGGTCTAAATTGTTGACTTGAAATCAAGGCAACTCTTAGATTCCAGACAACTCAAGGGGTTTTGGACACATGAATTGCCAAGAAAAGTCTTTGACTTAAAGATTTGACCACAGTTGCAAGTATCGCAGAAAACAAGTGAGTACTTTGAATTGTAACTCAAAAAATAGGAACGAACTCATCAAATCATTTTATTAGGGTTACAAGAAAAATAATAGAGATTCACCGAATAGATGAAAAGACTTTTAGATCTACCAAACCGGAGCCAAGAACCATCGTTTACACTCTCTGGTACCACTGTTACGAGTAGTTCAAATATTAGCCACTTTAAAACTCAACAAAAATATGGAAAATTAAAGCAGAAAATAAAAAGAAAATAAATTAACATGATGTTTTTCACCCTAAGGCAAAAGGTTCAGAATCGGAGTTTCCAATCTCCTTTTGAGCTTCCGTCACCAGAAGGATATCATTATATCAATGGAATCAAATGAACCATCCAGTACAAAGGTCCATGGCTCTCAGACGAAATAACACAAGATTTCTCCCAAAATAAGCCTCATAATATAGAACAATATTCACTCAAGAATGATAGATAATAGGTCTATACAAATCACTCAAGATCTATGCAAACGACTGGAATTTATCTCATCAATAAGGGCTTATTTCAGAATGTAGTAGAGAGAAAACGAAGATCCCAGAGAGAGTTCAAAAGGCAAGAGAGAATGAAAAGTCTAGCATCTCAAACCCTAATCTAGATTAAATATTGAAGGCAATAGAAGGTCTCCATCCAATGGTGCAGGAGGTGACTCTTGGCAAGATCAAGCGCATTTGTTCTTATAAAAGAGAAGTTGTGTTTCAGCAACACGTTCTTGGCCAAGAAGCAAATCAGCATCAATTCAACACTTAAGGATCCAGCCCAGAAGCCCATCAATTCAAAGAGACCAGCCCAACATCATTGTGCCATTCTCCACATGCTTAAAAAAGTGCTGGGGCGATGAAGATGATGAAACACGACAAAAGAAGTTGGGAATACAACAATTGATTCTAAAAGTTGTGTATGGTCGTCTCCTGGACACGGAAGAAAGCAAATAGAGAAATTAACATATTAACGTGACTTTAAAAAAGTATAAAAAATATTTTGCACTGTACATTGACTAGGGATAGTTTTATTTTACGCACTTTTACTATACGACGAAGAGGTAACTTCTTGTGTCACAAAATGATTATACAAAAATCAGAAGCTGATTATCAATTAAGCATTTTTCAATTTGAGAGATAGCTAGTAAGAAAAAGGTGACATTTGAAATCAATTTGAAGCTTGGTGACTCAATCGAGTGGTTTAGAATCCAATTCAATTTTATTGAAAGTTAGGAGACCCATAAAGTTTAGAATTTAATTCAGACTTTGTCGGAAAGTTTAGTGACCTCAGCCGAAATTTACCCATTTTTGTCTCTATAATCTGCGCACACTCTGGTTTTTACTCTCTCCTCAACCCTAATACACACATTATTCGCTGTCTCGCCCCGCATACTGCTCCTCCTCCTCCTCTGTTTTCAAGCTTATAGATTCAATTTTATCATCAAGCTAAATAGGAATTTTTGTTGAAATACATGCATAATGGATCTTCCGAGTTTAGTTCCAATTTTGCAAGGTGCACTCAGCCCCAATCCCGGTGAACGAAAAGCTGCTGAAGAAAGTCTTAATCAGGTATTGTATTATTATTTTTTAAATAATCATTTTTTTGTCCTTTTCTTTTTCCTAAAAATGGATGAAGCTCGGCCAGGTGACGGATTTTTTTTTTTACTATTAAGTGTCTAGGAATGTGAAAATATCAATATAAAGGAAATGGAGTTTCTTGGGGAATGGATTGAGTTGTTTTTAATTTTTTTTAGAGGTATTGGAATTCGAGATGATTGGATTCGAAGTTAGTTGTTTTTTGAATGGTTATGCAGTTTCAATATGCGCCCCAGCATTTGGTGAGGCTGCTTCAGATCATAGTAGATGGGAATGTTGATCTGGCAGTCCGGCAGGTGGCCAGCATTCATTTTAAGAATTTCATTGCTAAAAACTGGTCACCCCATGATCCCGGTGAGTTTACTTCTGAAGTCACATACACGTGTTTGGTACAAAATAGAGAAGACTGCTCTGGGGTTGCCCCATTTGTATTGATGATTATTATGCAATTTAATTTCACCTGTGATTTATCATCCAGCTGGTATATGAATTATCGAGAGAATTGGGTTATTCAATTCACAAAGCTATCACAAGTATTTGTGCGGTTCTCTCTTGTGCAGTGTTAATCAAGCCTTTCAATGCTTCTCATTTGAGTGCCATGTATTTGAACTGGGAAAATCATTCTGGGCAACTTTGTGTTGAACTTGAAAGGAAATATGACTAAAATGCTCAAAAACAAAATTTCTTTGCCTGTACGGGCTGCCAGTCAAAAAATTTGTGGTAGAAATGTTGTTTGCAGGCTTTAACATGCTAGTTAATGTTTTATGCCGTGACAGGGGAGCAATCAAAGATTTCACCGAGTGATAAGGATGTGGTGAGGCAGATTATTCTAAATTTTGTGGCCCAAGTTCCTCCGCTTGTGAGGTAGGTATTTTTGTCTGCTTGTATTTGCTCCATTCTGCCAACAACACTGATGCGGAAATTGCATTTATGTGTTGGCATATAAGTTAATGCTCGCTCGTCTCATGCGTCTGAAAGATACTTCTCTTTAGAGCAACACGACAGGTGTTGTTATCTATTATGTCTATTGTCTCTATCTGCTGAATGTACTTGTAGTATTTACTACACATTTAATTGTTTTATCCAGCTTTTTAAACTTCTCTTGTTTGTAAACAGGGTACAGCTGGGAGAGTGCTTGAAAACAATTATTCATGCTGACTACCCAGAGCAATGGCCAACACTTTTGCATTGGGTGAAGCATAATTTGCAGGATCAACAACTTTATGGTTCATTGTTTGTCCTAAGGATTCTTTCAAGCAAATATGAGTAAGTTCATGGAAACTGCCAATGGGCATCCATCTTAAGCTTTGGTATCTTTTGTTTGCCAAATAGAATGTTGAGGTCAATTTTTTAATTAGTATAACGCTTTTTTTAAGAATCATGCTATCTGAAATAATTGTATGGATGCGTGTGAAGGAATGAACGTCATCCAATAACTTACTCATTTTCTGTTTTCTGGTTGGCATTAAATGTTTCCAAGTCGTCTTTTGCACTTTGTACTCTTCTTTGTGTTTTCACTATTTTTGCTCTCTCTATAATGGTTGATCATACTTATTTTCTCAGTTTTTTTCCTCATCAAAGTGCATTCCATTTATTCTCATATCCGAGTGCTTTTCCATTATGCATTCAAGCCCTCAAAAAAAAAAAAAAAAGGTCTCTTATCAAGACTGAAATGAAAGTGCAATATATCAGTGTACGTTCTTAATACATAGACAGCTACACGATTTTTTTCCAACAATATCCTCCCCATCATGAGAAAAATTAGTCTTAAATGGCGCAGATCTATTTTTTTCTCATGCCATTTTCTCTCCAAGTAAGCTAAGTTTCAACATACTTTGACCTGTTGTTTTTAGTAGTTGGCAAAATTCTAAAGTATCTGTAACTTATTACTCAACAGTTCAATGATAAAGTGTTTGGATATCTTGATTGCTTCAGCTACACTCTGCTTAGCGCATTCCACGAACCGTTCCAGTGAAACTATTATGTCTTACGTGCTAATACCTAAGACTAAACGAACATAAACGCATACATAAAACATCTACTGTCTTACATGCTTGTTTTCTTCGCTACCATTCACACTTACTGATGCCATTTCTTGTCATCAGCCTGGCTTGCTGTATGTTACACAATTCTTTTATTAATCTAGGAGAGAATGGGAAAAAGAGTAGAAAGCATGTTACTATTTCCTGTACATTCATTTAGCCTCCACCTGCAAGCATTTATGGTATTTCCGATTTGTTCTGGAATCCCTTTTTTTTTTTTTTTTTTTGGAAAAGGAAAATGAGAGAAGATTTGTGCAGTTGTGTGATTTTAAGAAAAGAAATTTACTAGTTAATACCCGCATCATAAATTCATCCATATCTACAATATCTTATGAAGTAATTTCTTGTACTTCTTACCATGACAGGTTCAAATCAGATGAGGAGAGAACACCGGTTCATCATATTGTTGAGGAAACATTTCCTCATCTGCTGAACATTTTTAACCAACTTGGACAAATAGCAAATCCTTCTATTGAAGTTGCTGATTTGATAAAGCTTATTTGCAAAATATTCTGGTCCTCTATCTATGTATGTTGAATTTCTTAAGTTTCAAAACTGGTCTTCCATGAAGATTTCTTTCTTTCTCTTTTCATTTTTGGAATTCGGGGGGGGGGGGGGGGGGGTGAA